TCATTTTTTTATTCACAATCTCCTCATCACAGGCAGGCACAGCACTCATTTCAGCACGTGTTGGTGTTTGTGTGTGCTGTCTGCGTCACTCATAGTACGTGCCTATATCGTGCGCTATATCGAACAATTTTTCTATCGATATCGAAGAAGGTGTACCGTCGATAAATATCGATACCGTTTTATCGCCCAGGCCTACTTCCTACTCTTTCACATCTTTTGATTGAGGTAGGTCACTTCTCAAATCTTTTTGTTTAACTGCAGATAAATAAATGTGAAACAATATTCAATACAACAATATAAGATTTTTTTAGTAATTCAACTTTAGAGGTTTAGTTTCCTACAGAGTTTTTTAATATCATTGAGATACTATTATAGATTTTATTGTTATATTTTCGGTTTCATTTTCATTTTAGTTAAAGTTTTAGTACATTTTTTTGTGTGTTTTTGACATGTTTAGTAGTTTATTTTTTATGTCTATTTTTTATACATTGTTATTTCAGTTAAGGGACATTAAATACATTTATAATGCTACATAAGATTTTTATTTTGAATGAACTGTTAATTTGAACTTTCTATCCATCAAAAAATACTGAAAAAAAAAAAAAAAATCATAATGCTTTTTACTCCATTTTAACCTTTAAACTTAAAAAAAAAAAAAAAACCTTTATAAATAATTTCTAAATCTTTTATGTGGTCATTTTGCTCATTTATCTTAGGGTGTTTTGTGTAGATGATCTTCACAAAGAGTTTGTACAGTATAATTTCTGTTTCTTTCATTTTAACAAACTATCAAACATCTTAAAGGTACAGTAGCAAAATAACATTTATTTCTAAGGCTCAGAGAGAGGATGAAAATGACAGTGAAAAACAAAATTATAACATGCTTGGTGCAAGAAACCTTGACTAACATTATATTTGAACTTAAAGGGGTCATATGATGTTGCTAAAAAGAACATTATTTTGTGTATTTGGTGTAATGAAATGTGTTTATGCGGTTTAAGGTTAAAAAAACATTATTTTCCACATACTGTACATTATTGTTTCTCCTCTATGCCCCGCCTTTCTGAAACGCGTCGATTTTTACAAAGCTCATCGGTCTGAAAAGCGAGGTGTGCTCTGATTGGCCAGCTATCCAGTGCGTTGTGATTGGCCGAATTCCTCAAGCGTGTGACGGAAATGTTACGCCCCTACCATACTGTGATGCCTGCGGCAACCACATGTGACGACCCCAGGCTGGACTCCGCTTCGTCCACGGTGAAAGCCGATCCGGCGATCGACAGCAAGAAGTTGATGTATTTCCTCAGCAACCAGCACGGAATCAGCTCCAGGTAGATATGTGGGGGCGTGTTAGAACCAGCCGTTTTAGGTAGGTGTGGCTGACTCTTAACTTTTATAAAGAATATCTCTTTGGATTTGAGACTTTAGTCTTTGCAACTTTACAGATCTTCTTTATGCACCAAGAGCTTGTAACACTTCAAAGAGAAAAGACAAATTGAAATCGCATCATATGACCCCTTTAAATGTCCTGATTAAAGGGATGAAACACTGACCTTGTTGATCCAGAACAGCATGGCGTCCTCCATATCGAAGGGAAGCTCTTTAGAGGCGCAGAAGGTGGAGAAGCGCTTGACACTCACCACAACTCTCTCTACAGCCATCATCTCCACCGTATACGCCATCATCAGAGCGTCTATCAGCGGGATATGAGAACTCTACACACACACAAACACAAAGCAATACAACTGAACACAGGATTCTGCATATGAATAACAACTATATTCACAATACTACCATACGTTTCATTCCTGCCAACATGTGGAAATCAAATATTCAAGCTATTTATAGATTTTATCTCTGAATTTATAAATGAAAAGTTAACCCAAATTTTTGTTTTGACAAGAATAAATAAATAATAAATTAAAAATAATAAAAAAACATTTTCTGCTTTCAATATTAAATCTTTTTTTTTCATTGGGAGCAGTGTTGTTATTGTATTAAAACAAACTTTTGATAACTGAAATGAAGCTGAAATTAAATAAAATATAAACAAAGATAAAAAGGAAAAAATGAAATCGCATCATATGACCCCTTTAAAACCTAAACTTAAAAAAGGTAAACCGAAATTTAAAATGTTGCCTTGGCAACTGACTGAAATCAAACTAAAATTAAAATAAAACTGACAATAAAAAATAAAAGCTAATTCAAGATATTAATAAATGCTGATAAATAATTACTAATAAATACTATAACTATACTAATAAATATATAATGTACTATAAATAAAACTAAACTGCTGTGAATTTACATGTTTGGAAATCAGAACTGCAATGTGACTGATGAACCTTCCAGTGATTTTGATCAGAATAAATGGAATTAATAAAATTTCATATTTCTTTCTTAATCCTAGAACAAAAGATTAAATGTTGTGCTGTCATGTGGTGATGCTCATGGCTGCTCATCTCATAAGTATAATCATTCTGAAAGTTAGCTAATGGAAACTAAAAGAGACTTTGTGTTTGGGTGCTGGTCCATTAGAGAAACACTATGGGTGTTTCCAATGGCCTACAAACACACACGTCTGGTTGTGGCGCTCCATCACCCCAGCAGGTTTTGAACAGATGGTCCTACTGTGCCCGAGTTCTGTCCTCAGATACACCTCTCCAAATCTCACACACACACACACACACACACACACACACAGCTCACTTTCAGCAGCCTTCGTTTAGGAAGTATTTTTCCCAGCTATTTTCTCTACAGGATTTTTTTTTTTCTTAGTTTCTGGGTTTCTTTAAGCATGTCTATATAGTTATTTATTTATTTATTTTTATAAAATTTAATATATATAAAGGTTTATTTAAAAAACATAAATATTTTACGGTTTTATCTTATTTTGCTGCTTTTCTGTTTCTATGGTAAATAGCAGATTTCCTGATTGGTTGATCTTGATTTAGAATTATGGGTAGTTTGGTTCTTCAGCAATTAAACATGATATTTTAAAAAGGTGGAAAGGTCTGTTTTAAGGTTTAAACATTATTATTTAGTTTCACTATGTGTGAACCTAATGTGATTTTACTTCTGGAAGCGGACTGTTGCACTCTATTAGACACACTGTAACCTCGGCACTATCTTCAGGTAAGAAGTCAAAGGTGGAAATCACACCATCTTAATGGGGGTGGAGGAGAGGTCGTCGTAGGAGACGGGTGTGTCGTCTGCTTCTCTGACACATATTCCGCGGCGTGCGAGCGTCTGGATGACGGCCTGATGGGAGGTGAGCGCAGACGCCTGGTCGCCCTTCAGCAGCAGCCCGCACACCCTGCAGTACAGCTCCGAGGACAGAAATTTATTTAAAAAATTCATTTATTCTATTTCAGCTAGTAAGCAAGGCACTTAGTTGAAGCACTAAAATTAACTACAATTAAAAACGATATAGACATTTTAAATAATAATAATAATAATAATAATAATAATAATAGACAAAAACACACAACAAAATCACTAAAACTTTACCTGAAATTAAAATGAAAAAAAATAATATAAAAATAAAATTGAATTCAAAATCTTAAGAAAAATATCAATGCATATTGATATTATTTAGATTAAAATGTAATAATTAGATTACAATTTATTTAGAAAAAAATTAGATAAATAGGATGTGTGTGTGCACGTGTGTGTATATGTATGTGTATACACACACACAAATTATAATAATTTCAGAAAATAATTTTTTTTATATACGGAAAATTTAGAAAAATATTTTAAGAAATACATGATCTAGTAATTATATAATATATAATGATTCGATTTTAAGATATGTATAACATTACATAATAATAATTATAATACCCCAAAAGTGAACCGTACCGAGCCGTACCGTACCATGCAGTGGAAAAACGCCAATTGATAGCAGAGGAGCGGATCCAGCGAGAGCTTGATGGGGCGACGCGGAATGAAAAAGTTTTTTAGGAGCCGGGGCCGAGCCGTGCCGTGCCGTACCGAGCCGAGTCGTACCACGCAGTGGAAAAGCGCCATAAGACGACCGCGTTTTTTCAGATGTATTTCCAAGAAAAAAACATCGTCTTATATTCGGGACAATACGGTAATATATGTAAATATTACCGGTATTATTGTTATAATAAATTATTTTAATTGTCCTAAAAATGTAAAATATAATTTCTCTCTCTCTCTCTTTTTTACATTTTGTGTAAAATGTGACCTCTAACTATCAATAAATTGTAAGTGGAGAATTGACAAATCAGACTGTAAGAACTGTAGACAGATTGTATGGAAAAGACAAACGAAAAACAAAAGGTGATTTTGAGATCAGCCACTAAAATGGCTAACATCTTGCCTGCCGAATCAAACACAACCAACACAAACACTTCTACAGAAAGACACGACATCAGGCGTCTCAGTGGGATTACACATTCACATCTTCAGTGCTAGGCTAATTATAGCTAACTGCTAAGCTAATGCGGCTAAGCGACGAGACAATGTTTATTCCACTTGTTGGCGTGTTTGACCTCGTGTGTTTGATTCAGACGTGAGAAGAGAGCATGGTCAAGATGATAAGCAGCTTTAGGTAATGCTGACAGCACCGCAGGTGGAAAACAGTCACCGCTTATTATTAGTGCAAGCGCAAAATGACACTTTTTCCTTTAAATTGTCCATTTCTCTCTTAAAGGTAAATTTTTTTGTTTGTTTGCATATTTTTCCACTCTGCCAAGGGTCAATCTGAGGTTTCGTTAAATTAGGAGGTCAAAGGTCAACCAGTCAGATTAAAGCCTGAGGAAGATTAACAGTGGCCGACTGTCTAATAACCCCTGATGAGACGTGTGTGTGTGTGTGTGTGTGTGTGCGCAAGTCTGCATTTGACAAATCCTACAAAGACAACACTAAATAAATACAGCTCTGGTGGGACGTTTGAAAGATGGGAATATATGGGATTTATTTTGAGGTGGAAAGAGACCAATCTTTCAAATCAAACTGGAAAATTGGACTGGTCACTCTGAAACTGTATCTGGTCAACAAATGCTTACATATTGCAGCAAAAGTTAAAATGTTAAATTCAGCTGTATGACAGAGCGTCACTTTCTTTGAGATTTTCCCATGTGTTTTTTTTTAACTCTTTGTAAAACACTGTTCCTGTTGAAATCAGAGAATATGTACCGTTTGCACAGAGTGAACTCTAGTATCCCTAAATGTCTCACAAGACCATTCAGAATCAGAATACCATGGTACCACTTTCTTTTAAGATACACGCTTAACCACACACTTTTCATCTTTTTCAATGAAGACATTTGCAATGAAGATAACCCTTAAATATCCCAGAATATTAAAATAAAATATTAAAAAATAATAATATATGTGACCCTGGAGCACAAAACAGTCATAAGTAGCATAGGTGTATTTGTAGCAATAGCCAAAAATACAATGTATGGTCAAAATTATAAATTTTTCTTTTATGCCAAAAATCATTAATATATTAAGTAAAGATCACGTTCCATGAAGATATTTTGTAAATGTCCTACCGTAAATATATCAAAACTTAATTTTTGATTAGTAATATGCATTGCTAAGAACTTCATTTGGACAACTTTAAAGGGGATTTTCTCGATATTTAGATTTTTTTGCACCCTCAGATTCCAGATTTTCAAATAGTTGTATCTCAGCCAAATATTGTCATACATCAATGGAAAGCTTATTTATTCAGCTTTCAGATGATGTATAAATCTCAATTTCAATATTCAAAATTGACCCTTACGATGACTGGTTTTGTGGTCCAGGGTCACATATATACTTTTAATTTCAAATTTATTTTTTAAATGAATCCTGGTACATTTGTTAAACATTCCAGAATATTTAATAATTTTAATACATTGTTAATAATTGTATTAATAATAATTCTAATAATATAATATTACTCTGTATACATTCTAATAATAATAATAATAAAAATAATATTAAGCGACTATAATATTGTATATACATAATAATAATGATAAATTCTGTATATACACATTACAGTTAAAAGCTAACAACAATTGTATAATATTAAATTAAAGATAATATTATATATGCTATAAATGCTCTTTATATAATACTAATATTATATATGTTCTATATACACATTACGATCCAAAGATTATATTACAACTTTTAAAAACTGTTTCATTTTATAATATTAAACTGAGATTTCTTAAATGTATATATATATATATATATAATATTTATAGAGTTTTAGCTTTTAGTTTTAATTACTTTTTCTTATTTGTAAGTCGCTTTGGATAAAAGCGTCTGCTAAATGACTAAAAGTAAAGTAAAGTAAAGTGTGTGTATGTACTACTTCTCATTAATAAATAAAGGCTGACAGTCAGAAATGGGTCACACACACACACACACACACACGAGGGTTTCCCTCACAATGACATCTGACTACACCTTCAACACTGGACAAAGAGCTCCAGAGCAAAACTCCACATAAACCCGCAATATCACATCAAATAATCTTTATCTCTGCTCTAGCTGAGGAGGCAGTTTCAGTCAGACCCTGAAAATCTCTGAGGAAGGACAAGTCAAATACTATAACTCAACAATATTCTGAAATATTACAACTGAGCATTTATATTCAGATTTGTTGATTTAAAAGGTAATGTACATAATGTAAAAGCTGTTTTAGCAAGTGTGACAGTATGCATGGGATTTCAAACATAGACAATGCATTGTACATATATTATGAATATAAAACATTAAGCAAATGAGGGCGCTTAAATTAGACCCTTTTCCCTCATTCATATGCATGAGGTCATCAAGGTCAAAGAAATCTTACAGATCAATATGGATCTATTAGAAATCATGACAAAGCTCATTTCAAATGATAATCAAAAATTATAATTTCAAAGTTATCGTAATCAACTACATAAATATCTACATACAATCAGACAAACATTAAATATTTTCCGAAATATTACATTAGCATCACAGAAATTTAATAGGTATTATCGCACAGCTCTCTATATAAAGGATTAATATTCTTCTCTTCTCGTCACTGTTTGTAAGAGGGGGATTGCAGAAAAGAGATGCACTTACCTTCCCCGTACGCTTTGGCGAACAACCAGCGGAGGTTTGCTTCTATCTTGGCTCTGGCCGAGTCGTACATTTCCAGCGGCACGATTTCAAGTCCACCTTCAACCGAATCCGCTCTTCTCGGGACATCGTCCCCACCTGCAAGCGCACCTACATCCATCCTAAACACACACACACACATGTGGTCAAGAGTTACTGAAAACATCTTAAACAGTTAATCAAAAAAAAATTTACAATTCAGTCAAAGGAGTAATTAATTTTGTCTTCTATTCCTCATAAAGCTATCACATAGCTTCAGATGATTTTCAATATATATGTTTGAATTTTATGCTCCTTTTGGGTCCATTTGGAAGCTTGACAGTCATCGCTATGCAAATTATTAATCAAGTTTTGAATGACATGAGTAGAGATTCAACTATACCTTTAATAACCTGTTAAATCAAAATTGGAGTTGTGTTCCTTATAAAGTTGCTTTGAAGTCATCTATATGCTAAAATAAAAATAAATCTTCGGGATGCACACACATTTAAAATTTCTCTTCTAGGAAAACAGACCCAAATATTGACGACTCATCCTGTATTTAGGAGCATAAACAAACTTTTGTCCAATAAAATGCTTTCTAGAATGAAATTTCAAAAATCTATGCTATTCTGCCTAAGGAAATTAAATATGAATAACTATTTATGTTGATATGAATTGTTAAAGAGTAAGCTGGAAAAGTGAAAAACGGTCCTATAATGAGGTGAAAAATAATTTGCCATGATCTAACAATATGCCTGGATCATGATGACTAGAAGATATAAAAAATGATAGAAACAAGTGCACATAGGAAATGGTTGAGAACAACAACAACAACAAAATGTTACTGATATATTTCACTTTATATCTTTTTTATTACCACTTCTTCTGTTCTTCTATATATTTTTATATTTTCAAACTAGAATAGTCAGCTTGTACAAAAGACAGCATGTATTGTACTGCTGCACATTTGACAGATGAAACGTCTTTGACTGTGATGTACCATGGTACAAACCATCAGTGTACCATGGTACTACCTCAGTATTCAGCACACCCTTTTAATAAAGACAGTTTACAGTCATTGTAAAACCCAATGTAATAACGTGAGTGTCCAGAAACCCCAAAGCAGCCCAAAAAAGGCCAACATCCAGATCCTGATCCAGAACAGACCAAACAATGAATTATCTTATTGATGAACACAGAAGAACAATCACCTACCAATAACCCAAAATGATCTTATTGATGAACACAGAAGAACAATCACCTACCAATAACCCAAGATAAGACAGCGCTGATGAATGGCCATTCAAAAGTGATGAAAGCATGTTTGTGTTGAACACAAAACAATTAAATATGATGTATATCTGCGTGAAACCCTCACTGCAGACGAGAGATTATGAATGAACGGAGCCGCTTTACTATCACTATCAGAAATATAATCTGTGTGCACCTGTCAGCGGCCAAAACCGGCGACATCAGCGACGCCAGACCGAGCCGAGCCCCATCAGAGCGGAATTTACCTCAATCCACGCGTCAGATCCACAATCCAGCTTTAAAGATGCGTGAATATTCCCGACGCGTTGAACGAACGCTCCCGCGGGCGTCTGTTCGTTGCCCTCCCCGCCCAGCGCGGCCTCCGCTACATGACGCGCCGCCAGATATTCAGCAATTATCACGTAAACGGAGGTCAGAACGCGTTTGGAAAACGTCCCGGTTCAAAACGACATATTTGCTCGTGTCTCTTCTGCCATCCGAGCGCTCGTTCATTGTCTGGCTGCCGTTGTCATGGGAGACGCCGCGGCCCGCCGCTGTTATTGTCACTATGGATATATATATAGGCCTATGCAAGCTCATGGAAGCACAGTGCGCATGCGCGTCCTGCAATGATATGGACCACATGATCAATAGATTTGACCTCTTTGGCTTTTACTGACTATTCTGACCAAGAGGAACAGTTTTGGAATTAATTAATTAATTTACTTGTACTGTTGACCAAATTTCACATTCATAAGTGTAAATTTACTAAGAAACCCATTTTTATGGTTTTGTTGACTGAAACATGTATATTGACAGTAAGTATCAGAGACTCCTTGAATAATAAAGCTGTGAAAACTTTGAAAGCTTGTGAACTTTATATTTATTTGATTTTGATATATATGTATACATGTATGTATATGTAGGCATATGTATGTATATAGTGTCTTTGTTTTAAACTTTTATATTTATCTCCCCCCGGCAACTCCTATTTGATGTAATTTTTTTTATCCTTTTCCTTCTTATTTTACTTTTCTTCTTTTTGATGTCAGTTCGTGATAAAACCTTGTATGTTGTTGTTCTTTGAATAAAAAAAATAAAGAAATTACCATTGATTTGCTGTTAAGTTACAGTTATACAGTGCCTTGCGAAAGTATTCATACCCCTTCATTTTTTCATGTTTTGTTATGTTGCTGCCTTATGTTAAATTGCTTTAAATTACTTTTCCCCCCCATCATTCTAGACTCCATACACTATAATGGCAAAAAAACAAAAAAAAAAACAGGCTTTTAACATCTTTGCAAATTTATTACAAATAAAAAACTTAATTGATTCCATTGCATAAGTGTTCAAATCTAGGACAGCTTTGAGCCAAAATCATCACAATTAAAAGAACCAAAGACTTAAACTACTTCAGTCTGTGCGCATTGAATTTATTTAATACACGAGTTTCACAATTTGAGTTGAATTACTGAAATAAATGAACTTTTCCACGACATTCTAATTTATTGAGATGCACCTGTATATTTCAACTGGAGGTTTTTTTTATTTTGGTTTTGTTGCATGCTGTATGTGAAGCTTTTGAAATAAGATGGGGAATATCGTCTTTATTGAGTGATTTTTAACTAAATAATGCAAAAAAAAAATTTTAACTATAGGAAATGGTGCCTATAATTTCTTATCTTTTAAGTAAAAATGTTTGCCTAATTTACTTAATGCCTAAATGTCTTTTAATTTATACCCTGACTATTGATTTAATCTATACATTTATACACTAGTATTTACTTTTCATGTTTCTTGAGCAGCAAATCAGCATATTAGAATGATTTCTGAAGGATCATGTGACACTGAAGACTGGAGTAATGATGCTGAAAATTCAGCTTTTCATTACATTTTAATATATATCACAATAGAAAACTAATGATTAAATTGCAATATTTCACAATATTATTGTTTTTGATCAAATAAATACAGCCTTGATGGGCATAAATAGACTTCTTTCAAAAACATTTAAAAATCTTTCAAACAATAGTTCAAGAAATAATAATAGTGATGCTTTTTTTGCTATTCACATGAATATTTTGAAGGCAAATCAAGTTTGGCAACGCAGAGTAAAAGTAATGTCACCAAACGGTGTCCTTTATTGTATCAAGAAAAGTTACTTTACAAAATCATTGAACAAAATACTTTTTTTCAGTCAGTCTTTTCCATGTCACCATTAAAACATTTGATCTGCATTTATAAAACATGTCTGCAAAGCAACAATCACACCTAATGCGCACCGATGATGTCATCACACTGCGACACACACACCTGTCTCTTCTCTCACACACACACACAAACACACACTCACACAAACTCATAATATGTCCTACATGTCTACAGCAGGCAATAAATAACAGTGAACACTACGCTACATACGAAAAGCTCCCAAAAACACCTGAAGCAAGGTACAATGGGAAAAAGATTTGGGTTCAAAATGAACTCAGAACAGTGTCTACAGACGATACTCGGTAACATAGCATAAATCAGCCATAAACAACTCTCTTTTGTGTAAAAACACAAACAAACGTGTGCAGAGGCATGTCAGAGTGTATGTGTGCATGTGTGTTATACATTAAATTCATAATATTAAGACTCTTTTCTACATTTTTGTTCACAGAAAACTAATCGTTTGGTAAAAAGGACCATATCAAATCTAATTAATACTGAAATTTTAATTAAAAACAACAAAATTTCTGGCAGCATCATATTTTTCAAAATAATTTTCAGAACAGTTAATGGTCAAAATAAAAAATAAAATACAGTATAAATAAAAAAAAAAATCTTATATCTGTAGTCCAAAACACATATAAATAAATACAAAAATGAATAAAAATGGTTCTTAGCATACAAAAATCATAAAAAGAGTTTTTATCATTAATATAAAATTGTCTATTCAGTTTAGCTTCTTGATGCCAAAGCCCCGCCTACTTGAAGGCTTCTGGGATATGGTTCATCTGCATACTGGTGGGCGGGCTCGAGATGCCCTCTGACCAATCAGACAAGTTGGAATGTGGAGACGAGCTTGACCATTGGTCGGGAGATCCAGGGGAGGGTGTGAGGAACGGGTGGTCAGGAACCTGTGGCTGGTGACTGGGAGTGTTGTCCATAGGGTTGGAATAGCTATGCTGAGAAGGCGGAGTCAGAAACTGTGTGCTAGAAATGGGCGGAGCCATGCGCTGGCTCTCCTGCGGTAGGATGGTCTGGATGGGGGCGTGTCCTGAGCCGGACTGAAGATCCAGCCCAGTTAAGTCACCTAGGAAGTGATGAGAGAGGGCGTGGCCAGAGCTGACGCTGTTTTGGTGCTGCATAGGCAACATATTCTGATGGGCGTGGTTGGGAATCATGTGCGACGGCATGCCGAGGTGGCTGCTTTGCATTGTGGGATAGCCCATGACCTGTGGCATATTGGTGGCAGAGAGCATTGTGGGTATCAGGGTTGTGAAGCCTGCCTGCTGTTGCTGCACCCTTTGCAGCCAATCGCACCCCGCCGTTTGAGCTCCGCCTCCATTGTTAGCCACTGGCAGATGGGATAAGCGAGGAGGAAGGGCGGAGTCAAATGGCTTCCCTAAGCTCTGAAGAGCTCCGCCCATGTGGGTGTCAGCCAATCCTTGGAGCTGATTCAAAGTGATGGGTGGGGACTGTTGAAACGGTGATGTCATCAGAGGCGGGGACGAGACATCCGACAGGTAACCGTGGGGCGACTCCAGCGAATCGACAGGCGAGAGGACGCCCACTTCCATAATGCCTCCATTTTTGCCCTCTCCGGCCTTTTTCTTTTTCATTCTCATGTCTTTTCCGCCGTCCTTCCCTCCTACGCCTTTAATGCTCGGTTTCCGCGCTTTCTTGGCCGTGTTGTTGTTGTTGGCGCCGCCCGGGCTGGGTTTGATGCCCAGGTAGGTGTTGGGCGAGCAGAGAGGGGGCGATAGAGGCAGCGCGGGATTCTGGACCAGGTTGTATTCCTCTAACAGACGGACGATGTCGTGGTGCATGCGCTCCTGCGCGATGTCGCGTGGAAGCTGGTCTAGGTGATCCGCGATCTCACGGTTGGCCAGGTGATCAAGCAGGACTTTAGCGGTTTCGTAACTTCCCTCACGAGCAGCCAGGAAAAGTGGCGTCTCCTCCTGCAAACCAAGGGTATTATCGTTAATATTTTTGTTACTTGAAAGCTGAAATCAAATAAATAGTAGATGAAAGAACTAAAATTACTAACTGGAAATAAATAAAATATTAAAATTAAAATAAAACAAATGAATCCTAAATATTATTACATTTGATTATTATTAAATTATATTATCATTATTATTATTACTACTACTGTGATAAAAATAACTAAAAATTAAACAAAAGTTAAAAAGAAAATCTAAAATGTAAACATAAAAGCCAATTCAAAATATTAATAAAAACTATTAGAAGTAAATAAATAGTGCTAAAATAACACTGCTACAAAAACACACAAGTTACTAATTTTTTAATGTGGGAAGTCGTGGGGAAGTCGTGGCCTAATAGTTAAGAGAGTCGGACTCGTAACCCAAAGGTTGCAGGTTCGAGTCTCGTACCGGCAGGGATTGTAGGTGGGGGGAGTGAATGTACAGCGCTCTCTCCCACCTTCAATACCACGACTGAGGTACCCTTGAGCAAGGCACCGAACCCCCAACTGCTCCCCGGGCGCCGCAGCATAAATGGCTGCCCACTGCTCCGGGTGTGTGTTCACGGTGTGTGTGTGTTCACTGCTGTGTGTGTGCACTAAGGATGGGTTAAATGCAGAGCACTAATTCCTAGTATGGGTAACCATACTTGGCCACATGTCACGTCACATGTGCACTGATGAATCATGCGTAATAGAGTTTTAATGCTAATATTTATTATGCTTTACAATAAATTACTTTTCCAGTTTTTCTACTCCAAAAATTCAAGTTTAATTTAATGTGTTGCTTGACATTTCTGTGTAAATGATTGTGAAATTTATAAAATAAAAAATAAACAAATATTAATTTAAAAAAATGGGGGGGAAAACTAATAAAGGCAACAAAAAAAAACAAGTTCAAATGAAAACTTAAAATGTAAAAATAAAAGCAAATTCAAAATAATAATAATAAAAACCTCCAAAAATTCAAGTTTAATTTAATGTGTTGCTTGACATTTCTGTGTAAATGATTGTGAAATTTATAAAATAAAAAATAAACAAATATTAATTTAAAAAAATGGGGGGGAAAACTAATAAAGGCAACAAAAAAAAACAAGTTCAAATGAAAACTTAAAATGTAAAATTAAAAGCAAATTCAAAATAATAATAATAAAAACTATAATGTATATATAAGTAATACTAAAATAACACCGCTTCAAAAACACATTTTTCATTTGGAATAATCAAAAATAACAGTTATAATTTTCCATTATAAATTCATTGACACTCTGATGCACAAACCCACCTTGTTATTCTGTAGGTCTTTATTCGCTCCATTCTTCAGAAGAACGACAGCAGCGTCCACATTATTAACTGCAGCCGCCCAGTGAAGAGCAGATTTACCTACAGAAACATAAAAACAGAGTGAGTTAG